TCCATTCAACTGATTTACAACAATGTTCAAGATAAATATGCATTTACACATGTAGGGTAGTAAGTAAGCCAGATTAGTCTCAAGTCAAATTTATATTTTTCTACATTTTTTCAGATAAACATCCAAACAAATGAGCGCTGATTGTCTAAGTCAAGAAGAGAAGGTGTACATAAAATTATCATCTTGCTCAAGCTTTGAGAGAAACCACAACAATAAAAGGAAGCAGGAATCAACATAAAACAACAATTCTTGCTAAACAGAACAAAACAAACCAAGCCAAAAAATAATGTCTCATACAGAATCTACAATCACTACACAGAAGAACAGTAAATCACGCTCCTTCAGAAATTGAAACAATCCTAAAAGCTACAAGAAGCAGATTGAACATATTAAAACGTGAAAACAGTATTAATAAACATCAAATCATTGTAAAATAACTGAGAACACGACAAACCACACTTTATCAATTAGGATACTGCACAGAATGTGATCTGTGGTTAACACTTTCTCCCTGGTGACCTAGGAAGAAAAAGCAATGCCAAAGACCCATATTTTTATAATTTCAGGTGACAAAAAATTGTTATTGCACAGGTGACACAAAATTCAAAATTCCAATATTCAACTGCAAACAAAATAATGGGGTTAATCAATTAATTAAACAGTGCAGAGAAATGACTAGGTTACATGTCACTGAGCTTCTAAAAAAATGTTTATAGTGACAAATTCTTTACCCTGTGACCAGGTCATCAGTTTCCACTGTAGCTAACGGTTTATTCTAATGTCCCATATTTCATTACAAAGCTACTTTCCACAAAGAAACCCCATCTAAATGCTATTTCTTTGAGCTACTATGCTCGGCACTGGTCTTTATAAAAAAGTTGTTTAAGTAGAAAAACAAACCGGAGGCATTGCTGGCAACAGGGCTGCTCGTAAAGAAGCCTTATAGCAAGCTAGGAAAGCAACATTTACTGCGCCGTGGTCGAAAACAGGAGTGCCAGGTTTTGAGGTGAGAGTGCTGAGCTGCTGTACAATGGCTCTAAAGTTACTGCTAAATAGGGATTTTACAAATGGAAATTCAGGTCAACTAAGAACAGACAACTCTCCAGCTTACACCTCACGGGCACCCCTTGAAACAGTAGTCTATATTGTGAACTATCAGTGTCGCAAACTCACAAATCATAAGTGACAGTAACTTTGATGATGATGATGAGCAACAACAACAAAAAAGGAATTATTTTATGATAAAAATAACATATTGTAACATAAACTGAATGAGCAAAATGTTAGGAAAAAGTGAATGTTATCTGCATGGAACACTGGCCTGACTCTCACAAGACAAAAGGAATGGCTTGTACCAGTCTTATGACAAACACTGTGCAAACATTCAAAACCTTAAGGTACACAAGAGAACAGATTTACAAATATCCAACTATCCAGCTTCAAACTGCTTTTGTTCTAGAGATTATATGCTAGACGTTCATCAATTATATCCATCATATGGTCCCAAAAATACGGAACATCAAACACAATTAGCTCTTCATAAATGTTTTCTCTGACATATTTCATCATTATCAATCAACAGGTTCTTTATGGACTTCTAGTAATTCCCCCTGGTCTCTGTTTAGAGACCTGTGTGTATTGGTGACACGTAAAAAATCCCTTGGCAGTTGGAAATCGAAAAGAGGAGCCTAAAGGCTCTGCTCTGGCAAAATTTGGAGTTAAAAATCTACCCAAAGTATTCCAGGATCCTCGCCGGTGCTACAGAGCCTGTGCACTGTGCTCAGCTTCTTCAGACTCAGACTTGAGTTAGAAGAAAAATGGAGCACTTATGGGTTACTACCTGTGTGCCATGATGTTGATCCGTTGTTCAAAAACCTTAAAAAACATCATTATTATTCATCAAACTGTCTTGAGAATATGGAACCTCCATCTCAGTTAGCCTACCAGAAATTTTTTCTCTCACACATTTCCCCAACCATAAATATCCAGTCCATGGTTTCAGCACAATTCCCACATTGACAACTAGGTTGCCCATTGGCTCACTGGTAGACAACTTTGTCGCTGGTCTGGACAGCATATGAGTCTGTCTCCTTGGATCCCACCAACATTGCTGGAGTCCTTTGCAAACTGCCCATTCTGTAAACATGCAGTCCAGAATGTCTCCTGTCAGCCACTTTATGGCTTGCCTTCAACCGGTTCTCTTCAGGCACGGCCAGCTCCAGATTTAAGGCCATACAGCTAAAATGGGAATTCCCGTTTGAGCTGTATGGCCTTTTATGTAGAGCTGGCCGTGCCTGCGGGTAACTTTCCACAAAGAATAATACTGAGTTACATGGCCAAACAATTCACTTTTTTTTTAAAAATACGCATAAAAGCACAGCTTTAATAAAAGATGATTACACTGCCACACACGCATAACAGGAAAAACACACATAAAACTAACAAACCTAATTTACCAAGCCTATAAATAATAATATCAGTACATAAAAGATGATATCTCTAGCTCCAGAATATCTTCCTTCTCTGCATCAATGGCCCGTAAGCTTCTAGCTTTAATACTGCTATTCTATACTCCCGACATCCTGCCAGTTTTCTATATAAAGTTCCATCACACAGAGTTATATTTCTCTTTCCTCTGGAATCAAATGGGATCCATTTAAAAAAAAAAAAAATATTCCTTAGTTCTGGGGCTGCTGATAATATTTACAGGTTCAGACCCACTGGTTGTGTTGGTAATATTTACAGGTTCAGAACCCTGGGCTGTGTTGGTAATATTTACAGGTTCAGACCCACTGGTTGTGTTGGCTGCTGTGTTTTCTGAAAGGAAGAACTTTCTAACTATTATGTCCAGCTTTCTCCTCAAAGTTTGTCAACAACCCTTTCATCAAGCCAAATGTAAATTTCAGGCATAGAAAGTCAATGAGTTCCAACAAAACAAGTGATAGAGATTGACGGAAGTTTACAATAGTTTAGATACTGGGGGGAAAAAACTGAGTAACGGCAAACAGTGTGTGTCTGTATATATGCCATAAATCAAGTCAGTTACTACCCTGAAATGTTCTTGAGTAACTCTAAGGTAGCCCTACAGGTGTTAAACTTTCATCATTACAAAGACAGGTGACCACCTTGCTTGAAAGATCTCCTTCTTCTTTATTCCTCTTTTACTGTTTCAGGTGGACTAAGGGGTTCCATTTCCTGCTCTTTTGACAAGCTTTAACCGTAGGCACATGGTGCTGTTGTAGAGTCTCTCTAATGTTATCTTTTTATGGTGTTCTAATCTACCTCTTCTCTGCATCCTCTTTTAGTCTATTTCTTGTGTGGTAAGGCACTAGAAGGCATCCTTTAAAACTATTTGACTCGCTGTCTTTGTATGTAAATAAGAATTACTTGTGTGCTATCTTTTTCTCTTACGTCATTCCTGATTTTATCTCTTCTAGTCACCCTTGCAGCCCTTCTCTGACATTTCATTTTCATGGTTATTTTATTTCTTGGTTTGTTGTGAGTGTCCATGTCTGGCACTAGTAGGAGAGGGTGGGAATGAATAGGCTTAGTATGAGATGTTTCTTTGTGCTGATTGAGGTTGTCTTATTTAGTAAGAAGGGGTGTTAGATGTCCCAATACTTAGCTTAAAAGTTCTCATTAAACTGCAAATAAAATTGATGGTATCTGATTGTCCAAGTGGTGATCACTGGAGGCCAGGGGAAAAAACATATAAGTGGGGATCATATCTCTAGTGACCATGTCAGTAAGTGAGCAGGCTGAACTAAGCTACAATGTTCCAGAAGTTCTTAGTTGTCCATCTACGTTGAATAAGAGCTTATCAATCTGTCCCAAAGCAGGTTCTCACTTGCCTAATGTGTATGATATATCAAGGGCAAATGAACGTTTACTTAGAGAAAATAAAGCAAATTTACTTTAGGAAGCTACCATGGTGTAGCAGCTAGACGTTCGCCTGCGGATCAAAAGGTAGTAGGTCCGGGTCCTGGCGAAGCCAAAGTTTTTTTTTTTTTATACACGACCCTGGCTCCCAGGTCGACCTAGCCTTAAGTAGGCACCAGGTACAGTCCTGGCAAGTAACGGGTGCCGGCCTACTGTGGACTCTTATCACCCACCGTATGCCGATTAGTCCATAAAATATAGGTCTAGCCCTATATTCCAGAAGGCCTATAGCACATTTCCATGCAGCTCTATGCATTCTGCAGTGCTCTACAACCGCTGCAGAGACTAATTTTACTGTTGTGACGTCTATCTCTTTAATCTGACATGAAACCTTAGTTGATTCCTTGTGGGTCCAGAGGTCACTTTTAAGTCCACTATAGACGCGGAAGGATCTACGAGGATGAGGGCAAAGGAAGTCTCTAGGTAGAGGGCCTGTTACACGCATCTGTCCAGCCTGTCTTTGCTGTTCAGCCCCCCCCCCCCCCCCCCCCCTGGTGCCTCACAAGACTGTGTTTAGATAAGACACTGTTTAGATGCCTCCAAGACACTTTGCCTCTTCATCCAGACATTCTCCACAGTCTGATCTTGTGCAGCAGCCTCACAGATATCAGAAACGATTCCAAACAGTAATCAGCAGCAATGCTGAGTCATTTCTTTAGCCACTTTCTGAATGCCAGTTTCATCATCCCTGTGGTTCACCATTCTTCTATATTTTCTACATCTCCATCCACAGTGTAGTGCTCAGACCACACACAAACTACCTAATTAGACTACAAAATACTACTAGCAACTGAAAACAGGTTTACAAAAACATATTCTTTTACCTGTTAAGTTGCAATGTGTTAGTACTTTGAAAAAAAAAAACACACACACACACACAACCTATAAACCAAAACTCAGGAATGGTACAGAAACAATTCACTCTCTCCAAATTGAACAGACACCATTCAGGAATTACAAACATTTTGTGGTGCCAAGTTGGCTTTAAAAAAAATAGACAGACAGACCTAACATTAAAGCCAATATCTGATTTACACTGTTATTTAAAATGATGCTGCAACTCAAAGCACTGCACATTTAAATTTCCGGACTTTTCGCTTGATTGACAATGCAGCACGGGTGGCTGTTTCAAATACTTCTCGAACACCTTCTTTACTTTTGGCAGAACACTCAAGGTAGGCGTACGCTCCAATTTTTTCTGCCATGCTTTTCCCTTCCTCAAATTTTACCGGTTCCTGCTTCATTTTGTGCAAGTCCCGGATGGTGACTTGATCATGCCGCAAATCCTTCTTATTTCCAACAAGAATGATGGGAACATTGGGGCAAAAATGCCGCACCTCGGGAGTCCACTTCTCAGGAATATTCTCCAAGCTGTCTGGACTGTCGATGGAGAAGCACATGAGAATCACGTCAGTGTCAGGATAAGATAAAGGCCGCAGTCTGTCGTAATCTTCCTGCCCAGCCGTGTCCCACAATGCTAGCTCCACCTGCAAAAGAAAAACAAACAATACAGTGATAAAGCTTTACCCTGCATTATTTATAATTGATGTTTCATCCTTATCATGTATCTCTGTCCTTCTCAAACTACACACGTGACAACACCACCTGCAGCCCTGACGTAATTTATCAAACAAAAAATGTGTAGGAAATGAGCGACAAAAATCTGATCATCTTCCTTGTTAACTGGCTGTAAGCTCCAGCAGAAAGTCGTGGTTGTTCATCCACTTGGAAACTGACTTTGTGCCAGGACCTGAATTTTGTGTGTACATCCATTTTGTTTGCTTATTTGTGTGCAGCTGATTGTTCCTTGCCGCTCAGGTAGACGCTCTTTGACTTTGAAGGAAGCTCCTAATTAGTCGCCTCCTACAACATGCTTGTTGGGTGGCAGTGGGTCTATTCTTGTTTTCCCCACAATAGGGACCCAGAAACCACACAGGGGGGAAATCTGATTAAAACAGCTGGGAATAACGTTTATATTTTAACTCAAGGAAGCAGTGTGTCATATTTAAAACTACCACAAAATAAAATATTTTTCTATTAGCAAATGACAGCCAAAATATAATTTAATTGTCAAAAAATCTAGAAATGACTGCAATATTTATTTTATTCAGAATTTTGTTAGAATCAAACTCAAAGTACAGTGCAGACCTGATAAGGAGAACTCACTGGGGACCCAAAAATTGGTTTTTCTTATCAGAAATTCCTCTTATCCAGATAGGAATTAAGCATGAAAAATTGCTGGGGATCAACAAAATCATCTTCACAACAGAAATTTGTCATATCTGAGATTACTTTTAACAGTCTGCCTTGTACTGTGTTTACATTATTGTAAAAAAAAAAAAAACATTATTAGTTTATCTTGAAGTTAGTTCTGATAAAACTGCACAAAGATCACTATATCAAATATGAATTATTAAAGGGAACAGGGCTAGGAGAACTGCTCTGCACACCAACATTTACTTCAGTATAGGCATGCAGTTGCAGTGAAGTCACTATGGATGCAGTTTTCAAACTGGTAAATTTAAGCAAGTCTTAGCATCACCAACGGCATCACACACCACACACACATACAAATTCAAGTAATTCATATAATACCAAAAGCAAATCAACCATTAACTATTTTAGTAAACAAATAAGTGGTAATAGCCACTTCATGTCTGCTAAGCACTACACATGCTACTGCAGGTTTTCATCTGCCAAAAAACTACAACTGACCATGTTAGCTGTTTGACCATGCCTACCCAGTGCAGAGACTCTACTATGTTGAGTGCCTGCAGATGCTTATCTGCCATGTTAAGTACCTACCAATGCTAGTCTGCCATGTTTACGAACCCATACTAATCTCTTATGTTAAGTACCAACCCGTACTGATCTCTTATGTTAAGTACCTTCCCATGCTAATCTCCCATGTTAAGTACCTTCCCATGCTAATCTCCCATGTTAAGTACCTAACCATGATAGTCTCTTATGTTAAGTACCAACCCATACTTATCTCCCATGTTAAGTACCTAATACTAGTCTCCCATGTTAAGTACCAACCAATATTAATCTACCATGTTAAGTACCTACCCATGCTAGACTCCCATGTAATGTACCTACCATGCTAATCTCCCATGTTAAGTACCTAACCATGATAGTCTCTTATGTTAAGTACCAACCCATGGAGTTGGGGGTTATCTCCCATGTTAAGTACCTAATACTAGTCTCCCATGTTAATTACCAACCAATATTAATCTACCATGTTAAGTACCTACCCATGCTAGACTCCCATGTAATGTACCTACCATGCTAATCTCCCATGTTAAGTACCTAACCATGATAGTCTCTTATGTTAAGTACCAACCCATACTTATCTCCCATGTTAAGTACCTAATACTAGTCTCCCATGTTAAGTACCAACCAATACTAATCTACCATGTTAAGAACCTACCCATGCTAGTCTCCTATGTAAAGTACCTACCATGCTAATCTCCCATGTTAAGTGCCTACATGTGTGGGTTGTGGGGTCACACTGTATTTTTTTTTTTTATGGAGTTGGGGGTAAACCCACTGCCTCCCCAGCAAGTATGTCGTAAGAGTTTACTAACTGGGAGCTTCATTTGAAGTCAGGGTGCATATGCCCGATAGACAAAGAACCAACTGTCCACATACAAATAAGCCAGATCTATAAAACGGATGTACACGCAAAGCTAAAGTTCATAAACTTTAGACTATTTATTTTTCCCCACAAACAAACAACATAAATTTTAACATAGTTTCTAGGTATTTATGCATGCATTGATTTAACTACTATAAAACCAAACCACTAAAACTAAAAAAATAAGCTGTTTTGAATAATTCCCCGAAACTGCAAAGTAACGTGCTTCAAAATTATTATCATTTCAAAAGTTTTACGAAAAACCTTTGAAGAAAGCCTGGACAGAAAACCTGTAATTATTACAAAACACACAATCTATTCGCAAAAATACAGCAGAAACGGATTAGGTTAAAATAAAAGCACATATTGTATGGTTTGTAAAATAAATCAAGCAAAACTAAGCAAAGACTAAGTTGTTAACCCCTGAATCAGTGTCATATTCAGATACGTATCTGTCCAGACACAGAACAAAAATTTAATGCATTCAAAAACAAATGCCTGAGCAAAATGATGGACCTAAACTGGGGTGAATTCAATTTAAGAGGGGGAGGGGAGGGGGAGAAATAATAGAAATGTCTGGGCAATCACTAGGATCAGCGGTTATAAGACAGAGAAGATAGCCTGATCATGGACACATTCTAAGAAGAGACGAGCAGAGAATCAAACGGGCACTTAAATAGGAAACAGGGACCAAGAAGACAAGAACGTCCAAGAAAAATCCTAAGGCGAACGTTAATGAGAGAGGCCAATGCTGCTGGACTGGATTCCATCCATGATATTGAAGCAATAGCACAGCACAGAACAGAATGGATAAATAGACCGTGAGCCCGCACTAGGTGACATATAATGACACAACAGGATAAGGAAAATATGAATGAATACTAGCAATGAGATGGATGTAATAATGCACAACACTGTGGGGCAAAGGTGCTATATTTTTCATACAGGAAAGAGAATTAGCAACAGTGATGACAAAATGAAGCAACTGGAGATGATACCACAAAACAGCGTTGGGTTTAGGAACAGCACTGTAATACACAATAGTGAAGGGTTTAGGAACAGCACTGTAATACGAACAGCGCTGGGTTTAGGAACAGCACTGTAATACACAATAGTGACAGGTTTAGGAAGAGCACTGTAATAAAAAATACTGGAGGGTTTAGGAACAGCACTGTAATACAAAATACTGAAGGGTTTGGGACACGCACTGTAATACACAATATTGCTGGGTTTATGAACAGCACTGTAATACAGCTGGGTTTTGAAACAGCACTGTAATACAAAATACTATAGAGTTTAGGAACAGCAATGTAATAGAAACATCACTGGGTTTATGAACAGCACTGTAATACAAAATACAGCTGTGTTTAGGACAGCACTGTAATACAAAGTACAGCTGTGTTTAGGACAGCACTGTAATACAAAGTACAGCTGTGTTTAGGACAGCACTGTAATACACAATACAGCTGGGTTCAGGACAGCGTTTTAATACAAAATACAGCTGGGTTTAGGACAGCACTGTAATACAAAATACAGCTGGGTTTAGGACAGCACTGTAATACAAAATACAGCTGGGTTTAGGACAGCACTGTAATACAAAATTACAGCTGGGTTTAGGACAGCACTGTAATACAAATTACAGCTGGGTTTAGGACAGCACTGTAATACAAAATACTGGAGGGTTTGGGACCCGCACTGTAAAATATTGCTGGGTTTAGGAACAGCACTGTAATACAGCTGGGTTTTGAAACAGCACTGTATTACAAAATACTATAGGGTTTAGGAACAGCACTGTAATACAAAATACAGATTGGCTTCAGATCATGGTGATCTTTTTGTGTTTCCACAAGTTTACTCGCCTCCAAAGGGCCCTTGCAACATCAAGCTTGTCATGCATCCATTTACCACCAAGTGGTGCCAAACCAGCCAGTTTATCTGCCTGTTTAATTGCCTACACACCAGCATTCCCCGGCGAAAATACCTAAAGGGCCATAACTACTACTGACCTCTAAAATTAAACATGTTGCACCTGACTTCTGTGGCACGCACATCTACCACAGGTATTGCACACATCTACTACAGGTATTGCACACAAAGTTAACTGCTGTTAAAATGGAAGCAAATTAATATATTTCACACCGTGGTTAGAAAAAGGGGTGCATGCATGTATCAAAAGCAGGTATAAAAAGCAAAACTATATATGACAAGCCATTGAATAATGCTCGGTGTAAATGCTGAGGCAAATGAAACAAAAAATACTTAACACCATATACCAGAAAAGAACTAGCTAATGCTTCTAACAACCCATCGAAATAAAGATATACTGATCGAAAATGCCATGCTAAAAGTTTTATGTTTAACTCACCACAAAAACTGGCTATTCAACTTCTTCTCTGAAAGCCGGCGGCATCAAATTCTTCACCGTCTTACTCCGCATAAAAAAACAATATTAATGACGACGCAGGAAATCTATAAGCTGTATGTTTCCCCGCTTCAAATTTGCATAATCCGGATCACATACAAAAATCAGCAGGTAGCTTCAGTAAGATCTTGGTCAAACGCAAAAAATACTATACATTCACTTGAATATGTATGTGACATCAATTGGGAATTGCTGAAAGCTTTGTGCTTGACGCAACATACAACACATAACAACAAAGAAATCCTATGTGAGGTGCCCCAAGTAAATATTTTACATATACAAATGAGAACCCTAGCAACTGCAGTGAAAACAAGGCATATACAACAAACAGAACAAATATAAATAAATGGTGAAATGTGATCAGACTTCATGTTTGCAACACAAGAGTTCCAATGCTGTCATCTTTAAATCCTCTTGTTCCTTTCAGAGCTAGTGTTTACAAGCACACTATTGTCCCATAAGTTTCCACACATACAAAGTCTCAACACATCCATTACTCACGACATTACAAGCCTAACTCCAGCTGTGCTCATACGTGTTCTTCAGCAGTGGGGGACACACCCTAAAATGCATTTTTCTATGTAAGGTAACTTATGGGACACCTGTATTTGATTTCAGGGGTTCCCAACTGTTTAAATCAAAGGACCATTCTAAAAGACACAAATCTGATGGAGTCTTCATTTCTGTGCTAATTTTATGAACGTACAATGACACCCAACATCTATCTACTTATAATCTTGGAAGTAAAGGTGAGAGGATCAACTTCACTGCACCAAGTTTTATCCCAGATGGCTTAGTCTCTCTCCACAGAACAGCTAGCTGCCTGCCAAGAGCACCACCTCCGCAGCTCCGGCGACCATCGCCAGAGATTTCCGTAAAAATTGCACTCACGACCAGAACGGCACTGCGTGAAACGAACCCATGACCTTCAGAGGCGCAAAGCAAACAGCTTGACCGCTTCACTATGAAGACCCCTTCTTGGAATTGAAAGTTCCAGAAACCCCATGTTTGGGAATACAAAATCAGACTCGCTACCTCTTTAACAAGCACGTCATACAAGACGACTAATTAGGGTAGTTCACTGGATGTCAGACAGCATGTGCCTAAGAGGCAAGGAACCAACCGTCTACCTTCAAATAAGCCAGATCTGAAAAATGCATGCGCATGAAAAACTCAAGTCTGGAACAAGACCAAAATCCAGAACTTTCTGCATGAGTTTACAGCCTGTTAGCATGGAGATTTTTTTTTTAAATGAAGTCCCTGGAAACCACACGAGGCGTATTCACTTTAAAAATGCAACGATAGCTGATTTTTTGTTTTCACAGTTGCTGATAATTTTAAAAGATGGATGCAGAGAAAAAACAATGTAGTATTACATAAGATACCAGTTTGCATCCCTTGTGTTGCATGTGAATCGAGAGTACCTCCAGCAGCCATAAATAACAACCATGTCGCTAAAAAATTAGGTTTTAAAAGATACCTAAAACAACATCATTTGGAACACTTTCGGGATTTTTAAAAACCCAAGTTTAGCTTGGTTAAAATGCAAACCGGCATATTATCCAGTCACACAATTTGCGTGCTTAACTTTGAACTTTGAGAGGGTTTACTTCCAGATTCCACAGGTTACAAAATACAGTGCATAAAAACTAATGTTTCAGGCAGTGATAACTTTACAATAAAGTAAAAGCAGGCAAGGACGCTGCCAGGAAACAGGGACAGCAAATGGCAAAAGTAAAATACAGCAAGGAGATTAACACAGAGAATGAGTCAGCAGCTGGCACAGGACAAAACTAATGAACAATGCATTTCCAAATTTTAAGAAAACAAAAATGTGCCAAAATTTCTATGACTTCTACTGCACTTTTTTTTCTTGTTTGAACTGCGCTGGAGAAGCAAAGTGATATATTTTCATCACACTGATAACAGTTTTCCAATTCTCTTAATCATGACTGGATTTTTAAAAAAAAGTATTTATGTTGACTTTTGACTGCAAAAATCGGCAAGAGCTACTAAGAATAGTAGCTACATTTAAGGAAATAATATTCTGATAAAATTAACAGGCATTCTGTCTTTAATAGACAATAGAGGTAAACTCATTAACCTGTCTTTTAAAAAACAGCACAAACTATATTCATTTTGTAATAGCTACTGAGGTGGTTGTGATGCCATCCCACCTGGTTCGTAATATCGCAAATCTAAACAGAACACTTTCTTCATTATTAAATACAGTGGAACATCATCATACAAGTGTACCTAGACATGAGTTTTTCAGGGAACAAGGTATGGCTTAAGACATTTCCCCCCCCCCCCCCCCCCCCCCAGAATACGAGGTGAAAGGCAGGGAGAGAGCTAGAGAGATGAGAGCTCTCAGCCTTATATGACAGCATTTAGATAACTTTTAAATGGATTAGGTCAAGTTAACATTGCCGAAATAGGACTTAAGCCTGTCGACAAGGCACCTGATGATGAGGGGCCGTAGCATCAAGGTCAGAAGTAGCAATGTTTTCCGTTGCAGGCAAAAACAAACTGTGCAGTGACACACATTTTCCCGATTTCCCTGTGTGGGTAAAACAAGTACAGACACACTGCCGAAAGAGGACTTAAGCCTGTCGACAAGGCACCTGATGAGTGGCCGCAGCATCAAGGTCAGAAGGAACACCGATTTCCCTGTGTGGGTAAAACAAGAACAGACCCTCTGCCTCCCCAACAAGTATGTCATTAGAGTCGACTAATTGGAGGTTTCCTTCAAAGTCAGAGTGCATCTGCCTGAGAGGCAAGGAACCAACAATCTGCACATAAATAAGTCAGATAGGTAAATCAGATGTAAACGCAACACTCAGGTTCTGGAACAAGTCTAAAGCTCAGAGCTGGTTGAACAGTTTACAGCTGGTGAATGCGAAGAAGATTCTACCAATTAACTAAACGAAACATGCCATTTTGTTTTTGAATTTTGGAAGGGTTGGAATGAATTAAAGGTATTTACATTAATTTTAATTGTGCAAACATAGTTTTAGGTTATGAGTTATTCACCACAGGAGCTTAGTCATATCATGAGGTTCCACTGTACTGGAAATGCAAATAGCTGAAAATGTTATAGTGATGTCAAGGCGCCACTCGAAAAACCATCTGGCTGCTTCGAACAAAAAGAGACAAGAAACAGTGACATAGAGCTAGAGGTGACCCCTAAAACATGGGAAGTGCACTCACACATGACAACTTAAAATCTGTGTACATAGTGACAAACCTGCTTGCCATCGACTTCAATATCTGCGACGTAATTCTCAAAAACTGTTGGCACGTAGACTTCAGGGAATTGGTCTTTGCTGAACACAATGAGCAGACATGTCTTACCACAAGCACCGTCACCAACAATAACTAGCTTCTTTCGGATTGCTGCCATGATTGGCACTTAAGAGAATCTGTGGATAGAGACCGCAATATTAGTAACTGGATAACAGTTCTTGTTCTGTCAAAATAAAAACACTTGGTAATTGCCACCTGTTTTTTGCCGTGTAGGCAGGGGAGGTCCTCTGAGTCTGACGATTTAGGGCTTGCCAGTGCTGTCACCATGAAATGTGGGGGTTAGGATTTCATTTTTTTTGCAGCACATTGACACACTAGTCCTCAAGCTGGACAAGTAAAAGTTGTACAGCACATTGACACACTGGTCTTCAAACTGGACAAGTAAAAGTTGTACAGCACATTGACACACTAGTCTTCAAGATGGACAAGTAAAAGTTGTACAGCACATTGACACATTGGTCTTCAAGCTGGACAAGTAAAAGTTGTACAGCACAGAAAACACACACTGGTCCTCAAAACAGACACGCAAAAGTTGTACAAAACAGAACATAGATACACTGGCCCTCAAGCTGGACAGGCGAAAATTGTACAGCACAGAACATACATACACTGGTGCTGAAGCTGGACAGGTGAAAGTTGCACAGCACAGCACAGAACAGAGACATGCTGGTGCTCAAGGCTGGGGGGGGGGGCTAAAGCTTGGAACCGACACTCTCACTTGGGTGATACATCATTTTATGACAAAACTGGTGTGTTGTTTGTTCATCACTAGTCTTCTTCTTCTTCGCGTTCACAACTGTAAACTCCGGCAGAAAGTTCTGGTTGTTCGTCCACTTCTGGACTGCAGTCCTGTTCCAGAACCTGAGTGTTACGACATGCTTTTGGGTAGGCAGTAGGTCTATTCTTGTTTTGCCTATAATAGGACCCCGGAACCCACACAGGGAATTCATCACTAGTGATAAGGAGCACTCTTTCTTTTATCTGTCATAAAACTTCAGTTGATTGTGTGTCCTATCGTGACATAAACTCAATACGGGCCCGAAAGGATCTAGGACAATGACAGAAGGGAACAATGTCTGAAGGTGGTGCTTCTTTCTTCTTCGTGTTCACTGGCTGTAAACTCAGGCAGAAAGTTCTGGTTGGTTGTCCACTTCTGAGTTTTGTGTGCACATTTGTTTTACAAATCTGGCTTATTTGCATGCAGACTGTTGGTTCCTCACCTTGAAGTATTTGTATATGTGTGTCTCACCACTGAGTTGTTATTCCTGCAGACAAGCAATCCTGAAGGGGTCAATCGACCTACCTACCTACAAAAATGGCTGTAAACTCCAGCGGAAAGTTCTCGCTTTTCGTCTACATTTGATCTTAAGTCTTGTTCCAAAACCTGAGTGTTGCATGCACATCTGTTTTACAGTTATTTGTATGCAGATTGTTGGTTCCTTTGCCTCTCAGGCAGATGCACTCTGACTGGGAAGGAAGGCCCCCCCCCCCCCCCCCCATCCTTCGTTAGTTGAATCTTACGATATGCTTGTTGGGAAGGCAGTGGGTTCATTCTTGTTTTCCCCACAATGGGGCCCGGAACTCACATGGGGAATTGAGTATTAGAAGTGGAAATAAAAGGTAAATAAGAGATGAATTGCAATCAGGTGGTATCTGCAGCAAGGAAACTCAAAGTCTCGGAAGAATGCTACAGAAGAAAAAGAACATCGCAATCAAAGAATATAATTCTCTGCTTGTATCATGATGCATCCTTCACCACTTGTAAGTACACTTTACCTATTTTTTTTTTAAACCTAGCATTCACTGGCTGTTAACTCTAGTGGAGTGTTCTGGTTGTTCATCCAATTCTTAACTGTGGTCTTGTTCCAGAACTTGAGTTTTGTGTGCACATCCGTTTTATAGATCTGGCTTATTTGTATGCAGACTGTTAGTTCCTAGCCTCTCAAGAAAATGCACTCAGACTTTGAAGGAATACACTTTACCACATTATTATGGTGGGATCACACAGCCAGTTACCTTACTTTCCTGACACACTACATATACAACAAAGCATCTGTGATGAATTATACAAATTGGGAGACTGCCTCTCAAGACCAAAATGCATGGCCTGCAACTCTACACAAGGGCTCGGCTACATGTGAAGCGACAGAACAGCAAGACTGATTAAGAAAAAAATGGACAGAAAGGCAACTGCAGGAGATCCCCTCCCTGGCATAATACTCATTCCCTGTACTCACTGTCCAAGAACTTTTCGGGCCTGCATCGGCCTCATCAGTCATCTTCGTACTCATACTTGATTAAAAAGAGTGGTCATCATCATCTTGATGGACAATACACACACACAACAAAGATGAATGGAAAGACAGTAAAAGAACAGTCAGGCATTCGGTTCAACTACTATCATGATGATAAAGATAGCAGTACCACAGGAACACTTGCCTGACTGGCGGAACAGAAAGCAACTTTGCACTGATAGTGACAGACTCAATAAGCATGCATAAGAAGATCTAAGCTGGCAAATAACTCCAGTCAGAATGAGAATGGGTTGACAGCATGTCCATACATCGCGCCTCAAGCAACTATGACTTGAGCCCATCCAGATGTTACACCTCAAAAAACTATCTTACTATCCTGGTTGTACTGTACACACCAGGATATAAGCCGGGTAAAATAAAAGAAAGAATCGAAAGACAAATCCTGTCTGCTAGGGCAAATGGAGGAAGAAGTATGAACACAGTAGACATTTTGTAGTAGTATAGTTAGGTATTTTAGTCAAAATTTAAAAATTGGGTTTTTTACTTTTAAACCAAGACAGCTGAATAGAGGTTGAAAACCCGAGTCCAATGGTACCTCAATGAAGTCTGTATGTCAATTCTAAGCGGAGATATTCACATTTCAGTGATGGAAAGTTGCCCCAAAAATTTATAATGGAAAACACAGAAACAAGATGGCAGCGTGTTCCCAAGTGAAAAACTGGACCTAAATTTATCATGTTTTAATGTCAATAACTCTCAAGTTTTTTTTGCTGAAACCCCTTAGCAACCATATGTCATTGCTTTCAGGACAGCAGGCTCTGACTAAAGTTGTTGCCTTTAAAAAAAAATGATGTGATGCAAACCTTAATAACATAAAAATGAGTTTGTTTATCAGGATTGATAACCTTATTTATGAATTAAATTAATGATTATTATCCAGTGAGTCTTCCAAGACATATACTGAAATATGCATACTTTTGTAACTATTCTTCTTGTTATGATGCATCTCTTCCTATTTGTTTAAAAATGCTTTTTCTTGCACTCTCAATTGTGTGTGTGTGTGTGTGTAGTGTGTATACATCTGACCGAAATTTGCTCTATTCCACTGTTAAAAAATGGATTGACTTCACTGCATCGTTACTGGTTTCATATGGCTTGGTCTTTCTCCACATAACCATGAACAACTAGCCGCATGCCGAGACCTTAGCAGTAAGCCTGAATACCGTAGCTCCAGCAACAGCCTCCAGGCGTCCCTGTTAACCCAAACAACATGTATTTTTTAGACGAACAAAGCAGTTGTAAAATAAACTCACCGCAACCTTCCGAGCACGAGGTTAATGGCTTGACCACTTTTCTACAGAGACCCCCAATATTGTTTGATAACCAAGTCAAAATATGCACCCTTTTTACTGATTTAACATAATCCCTTCTTCAGTCTTTGCGAGTTATTCTTTAATTTTATTGATGATGAGCGCATTTTACCACAGTGTTTTCCTCTTCTTCTTAACTAACACTGCTGGATATTTTATTTACTAGTTCAAAATAATCTAAGGTAACTGCTCATACCTGATTTGTGATTCAGTGCTATGTTTTCATAGAGTAAAATTATTAAATAAGCTCCTTTGTGATTCGCTTTGGATTTATGTTGTGTTTTCATGGAGCAGCATTTCATAAGGTAAGAGGAAAAATAACATTATATATATTTTATTAACGTATCTATGTCCCATGTGATCTGTTTGCTAGCTAGTATATATTAGTATATTAAGAAAATAATTATTAAATATTAATAATCATAAGTTGTAACTAGCCTTGGCTGTAAGTAAGTAAACTTATGCAGTTAAACAAATTATAATTTATTATTAATTTTATTAATCGTCAACTTTCTAAATAAGCATCTATAAGTCAATACTAATACTATAATTTTAAAACTAATAGTATCAGTCATAAATAGTAACTGTTATTCATACTATCTAAGACAATAAAAATGCACCACAAAATCAGTGCAGAAATGTGTGGCAGACATTTTTTTAAATGTCAGTCTAGGTGCGGAGAGTGGGGGGTCAACAGGTAAAAAGGCTTTAAACAGGAACTATTATTCATGCCAAATGATAGATTATGGCTTAAAAAATTCTATAATGGCTAAAGATTCCCAAAATGATTTAAAAACTACAATAATGTGATTTTAAAGTATATTTAAAAATGTTCAAACCAATGTCTGCATCCACAATGTCAGTCTGGGTGCGGAGAGTGGGGGGTCAACAGGTAAAAAGGCTTTAAACAGGAACTATGATTCATGCCAAATGATAGGTTATGGCTTAAAAAATGCTATAATGGCTAAAGATTCCCAAAATGGTTTAAAAACTACAATAATGTGATTTTAAAGTATATTTAAAAATGTTCAAACCAATGTCTGTGTCCATTTTCAACGCAAAATACCCTAGAAAATAGTCTATGTTAAAAACGTGCTAAAACATTATTTTCAAGTATTTAAAATTATTAAAACTCATGTGAAATTAAAGTTAAAGAAAGGTAAATTATAAATACGATAAAAATTGCCTTATTTTTGAACTGTTTTAATAAAAACCTAGATTAATTAATCTGAGATAAACAGTTCGTTTAGGCCACGCGGTAGCCATTTTGAGAAATTGCGGATTTAGCTGTCAAGAAGTGACCGGGAAGAAAATTTAAATTTTATATTCTATGATGTACAGATTCCAGCAAAACTACCCATATTTATGTAAAAATTGACACAGAATCCAAAAATGTCAACTAAAAGTATATAAATTCACTTTAAAAAGGAGATATTAAAGAAATTTAATTCCCGCATAGCAAATAGTGAAAT